TGTCGCTGCCCACCTTGCGGCGCCGCACAGGCTCGGCCTGCAGGTCATACACCGCCACGGAAGCCGGCATCGCCCGATCGGCGGCACCGCCGCCACCGTCCGCGGGCACCGGCGCGGCCGCGATGCGTGCCGAGCCCAGTGCCAGGAAGCGGCGGTTGGGGCTGAGTGCGAAGGCGCGCCCGGCCGCTTGCACCCTCGCGGTCCCCGACGCCGCGGCTCCCCAGGCGACGACGCCACCCCGCTCAGGCCCTGGTGTTAGGGCCTGCGTCCGCAGTTCGGCCCCGGCGCCGGCGCTCGCCCGCACCAGCTGGTTGGCTGCGGCAAACACCAGCGTCTGCTCGTCGAGGAAGGCAAAGGAGGCGGCGCCGGGACCCGGGGTTCCGGCGAGACCAAACACGTGGTGCGCGTGCGCCTGGGCCTGAGACATGGCGGGCGCCGACTTGGTCGATCCGCTCACCTGACACCTGCACAGGGACGCACACACACGGGATGCGTGTCTCTGGGCCTTCTACTCCCGTGGCACCGGGACTGTGGAACTCTCTGCCGAAGGCTTTCAAAGCATCTGGTTTGGTTGGGATCTTCAAGTCCTTCCGTCTAAAAACATTTCCCTTTGTGAAGGCATTTAATATTTTAACTTAGAGACACTTCTTACCCAACCCCCCATTGGCAATGATGTAAAGCACTTTTAGCTTTTATGAAAGGCGCTATATAAGGTGTAATTATTATTATACAGCAAGTGTTCGTTGAACGTAGTAGATGCGATCCTGAAAAGTGCCGCATTAAGCTAAACCAATTTCCCCATGAATAATGGAACGATAAAGTTTGGCGAGATACGCCGTACGCACACACAGGAAGATGGCGAGACAAATAACGAATGGGATGCCTCGGCGATAGTGTATTGTTCCACTCAGTCGTGCAGTTTAAGAAAGTAGTTCATCATCGACCGCTTATTGTTGTGCGAAAAGTGTTTCCCAATGTCAGAACCACGTTATAGTGAAAACGTGCCATGTGAACACGCATTAAGTGAGGACTTAGCATATATATGTACACACTAGAAGGCAGCCTGTCCTATGGATGGGGTGATACTACACAGCTGATCCTCTTCCAGCGTTGCCAACTGAGCAATATTGTCACGAGATCTAGTGACTGAATTTAGCTTTACCTGGCGATTTCCTACTTTGTGGAGTTTGCAACATCGCCAACTCTTAACTCACAACGCAGCCCACACCAGGTACAATGCGCCACCAGGTACAATGCGCCACCAGGTACAAATCACCGCCAGGTACAAATTAACTCACCGGCAGGTACAACTCACCACCAGGTACAACTCACCGCCAGGTACAACTCACCGCAAGGTACAACTCACCACCAGGTACAACTCACTCACCGTCAGGTACAACTCACCACCAGGTACAACTCACCGCCAGGTACAACTCACCGCAAGGTACAACTCACCACCAGGTACAACTCACTCACCGTCAGGTACAACTCACCGCAAGGTACAACTCACCACCAGGTACAACTCACCACCAGGTACAACTCACTCACCGCCAGGTACAACTCACCACAAGGTACAACAACTCACCGCCAGGTACAACAACTCACCACAAGGTACAACAACTCACCGCCAGGTACAACTCACCGCCAGGTACAAGTCACCACCAGGTACAACTCACCACCAGGTACAACTCACCACCAGGTACAACTCACTCACCACAAGGTACCACTCACCACAAGGTACAACTCACCACAAGGTGCCACTCACCACAAGGTACAACTCACTCACCGCCAGGTACAACAACTCACCGCCAGGTACATCTCTCACAACCGAGACAACCCTGACCACTTACCAGTGACACTCAGACTCGCTGTACACTCACCATGGGTTGGTGTGTAATGTTATGTTACTGTACCTGTATTAGGCTGGTGTTATACTAGTCACATGTATTCTTGGTTCTTTCGGTAAAGTCACGTAGAAGGGAAACAATAAAATAACAAATAAAATCTTGCTGTGGTTTTCACACCTGATGACGATTGCTTGTGTTGCAGTCGAAACGTCGTGAGAATGTTATTGTTTTATATTTTTATTCTTTTATTGTTTCCCTTCTAACGTGGTGACTTTACCGAAAGAACCAAGAATATGAATCCCTGCAGTCACGAAAGCTTTCAATCAAAATTTAGTCACGTGTAATTCGCCATTTGTTACATTTATATTTTTATGTCAAGGTGGTTGAAGTGGGTGTACAGTGAAGGTAGTGTTACTCTGCAGCTGTGTACACGATGTATTTATATTGCAGCAACAACAGCAGCAGTTTTCTTTGGTTCTTTCGGTAAAGTCACGTAGAATGAGAATAAAATAATACATTGATAAAATAAAATAACACAATAATATTCTCACGACGTTTCGGCCACAACACAAGCGGCCTTCATCAGGTGAAGGGGGCGAGACTGTCTGGTAGGACAGCGCTGGAGTCCTACCAGACAGTCTCGCCCCCTTCACCTGATAAAGGCCGCTTGTGTTGTGGCCGAAACGTCGTGAGAATATTATTGTGTTATTTTATTTTATCAATTTATTATTTTATTCTCATTCTACGTGACTTTACCGAAAGAACCAAAGAAGATGAATCATTGCAGTCACGAAAGCTTTAAATCGAAATTTAACAGCAGCAGTTGTTGGTAACGTTACACGAACGTCAGCGTAAGAACAACGTTGTGAATGCGTTGCGGGCGATGCTGTTGCTGAGCGGTCAGTCGCGTTTACTTACTTCTTGTGTGAATCTACAGCAGCAGAAGCGGCCTATGTAATGTTGTGTAAGTGTTTATGCAAGGGTTGTGTGTGTAGGTGTTGTAGAGGTGTGTGTGTGTAGGTGTTGTGGAGGTGTTAACTAAGTGTGCTCTAATGTTGAGTCGAATGTCGTCGCCTCAGCTGCGTGCGTTCCGCGTCGCCGTGGCGACCAACCCCGAGTTGCTGTCGGGAAGGGGGGGGCAGATCACGTGACGGCACTCGTCGCGTGAACGCGGTCACGTGATGCCGCCGCCCTTCCCCTCGCGTCGCCATCTTGTTAAGTTCAACGCGTTGTGGTTCTTGTGGGTGCGCTGCACGTGGCCTGTAATCATTCCGCGTTGTGGGGGGGGGGGGGGGGCAGTGAGGGTTTGGTGGATCACACACACAGACAGATTATGTCAATCATACACCTTATCAGTGCCTACCTTATTAAAGGCCAATTCAGAGTTTATTGGTCACCTTATAAATATCAATGTTTATCCTACAACGTCCCATCACAAGGGAGAAACATAAACACATAAACCAAAAAATGTCGTTGGCTCGTATTGAAACGGCTGTACGCCGCATCGACCTGAAAACGCAATTTCCCTGTCCAAGAATACGGGGGTAAACCGTATGGGTTGACAGCTATGAAGCTCCCTTCACGTGGGCGTCGAGAAAGAGACATACCCACGGGAAGGGAGCTACAGCAAAAGTGTGGACTCCACCTGCTCCATCGGTACGTGATAAGAGTGTTATTCTTCGCACGCGTGGGGTTTTTTCCAAGCGCTCCAGTTTCCAATCACACGGAAAGATTCAATGGCCGACAACACCTGTATAACATGTGGAGAGGACAGCAACGCTTTGGGGGGGTTGGCGGAATTTGGTGGTGCTGCTGCTGCCTTGGCCCGCTCCTCGTCTCTGGTTCCTCCTCCTCTTGGCGCGCAGTCCCAGCAATTGTTTGGCTTACGCCACTGCTGGTGGAAGGGCATAGCTGGCAACCCATACAGTTTAGGGGCCGTCCATATATAACGTCCCGCACATGGGGGGGGGGGGTGTCAGACATTTGTGACGATGCGTGACGAGAGGGGGGAGGGGTTTGAGAAATGTGACGTCACATCAAAAATGCGCAACTTTTAAACAAATATAGACAACACGTTCTACTTAATTAAATAGACCTTTTAATAAATGATTTCTCCTATAACGTCAGAGTTCAGCTCCACATTAAAAGTATGCACTACAATTACAATAGTTTATAAGATTTGAAGCATACATTTTGATTTAAAGCTTTCGTGACTGCAGGGATTCATATTCTTGGTTATTTCGATAAAGTTACGTAGAAGTGAAACAATCATAAAAATATAAAACAATAAAATGATCACGACGTTTCGACTGCAACCCAAGTAATCATCATCAGGTGTGGAAGCCACAGCAAGAAAAATGTATTTGAAGCATGTTTTATATATATATTTAGGGGGGGGGCAGAGCTTTGTGACATCATATTTGAGGGGGGGGTCTGACTTTTTGTGACGCCGTGTGACGATGGGGGGGGGGGGGGGGTCAAAAATCGTCCAAAATCGCGTGACGTAATTTATGGACGGCCCCTTACCCCGTATTCTTGTACAGGGAAATTCAGTTTTCAGGTCCATACGGCGTACATACATTTCAATTGGGGAAAATTGTCTTTGTCTATTTGTTTGTGTTTCTCCCTTGTGATGAGGCATTGTAGGATGAACATTGGGATTTATAAGGGCACGGCGTGACAAGTAAAGTCTTAATTGTTCTGTAATAGGGTAGGATAGTGAAAAGGGGTTGACAGGTATGGAAGGGGCCTCCACCAGAGGGCGCTCTGGCGATCCATTCTCAAGAGTCGAAAGTGAGATTACATTAAAATTAATCGTTTGAAAGTAAACTCGATAACATTCCATACGCGTTAATTACATTAAAATTACATCGTCAATGGCCCTTCTTGTGACGTCACCACAGGCACGCGGCCTCCATCGTGGCGCGCGACCGCTGGCAACATGGCGTCATCTCAAGAAGGTTGCTGTGTGCGTGACGTCCTCGCGAGAGTGTCGTCGTCCGCGAGACGTAACGGCTTCGTCTTTTCGTTACGTTGTGCGTTCGTGACGTCACGAGCGTTGTATACAAGAGTGACGTCATGCTCAACGCTACTTTTATCCACCGTGACGTCACTACTTTGCGTTCGCGACGCGGGGAGGCTGTTGATAAGATGTGACGTCACCTCACCGCCGCGAGCGTCGCTTTCTTAACACCGTGACGTCATGTATGCGCTTTGTCCGCCGTGACGTCAGGCGGCGCACCTAGATTCGTCCGCTCGTGTTAAGGGATAAAGCGGCAGCGATTAATAACGCGGCCACTGATTAGCGACGATTGTAATCGTGACAACAACAACAACAATACACAAACACTAAGTTTCGTGACTGGCATGAGGCGCGATGGGAGGCGACGCGTCAAAGACCCTTAGGAGCTGGGTGTTCGGCGCGACCCCGGGCGATCGGGGATCAGCAGGCGTCGGCGAGGAGGAGGAGGAGGCCCCGTCCCGTCGCGGCCTGGCAAGCCCCTGGGTCCTCTCCAGACGCGGGTAACGCTCTATCCACTGCTGCATGCGATACTCTTTAACAGACGCTTACTGTCGGGCGATTTTGGGTAAACACAGAAGGCGACCCGGGCGTGGTGCGCTGGCCGGCCCACACAGCCACAGCCCAGCCCGGCGTCTGCTCGTGTGTTGCCGTGCCACTAGAATGGGTGCTCGCAGACGGCACTCGGAAGTAACAAAGATGACGAGCTCCACGTGCCCTTGAAACACACCATCGGGGGCGAGTGCTGTTAGCGAGGACACATTAAGGCCGATAAGGCACACGCGGGTGGGTGCGGGGAGGGTGGTATTTGCTGATGTCACGCCCGGCCGCCTTTGTCTCCCCGACAGTAGTACCGATGGTGCTTGTCTGCTGTACCCCGTGAAGGCTGAGTTCCACCGATATTATACGACATCGCACGCGTCCGGAGCAGATGTCGCTCTCTCCGCTGCAGGATATTTCGCCGCGTTTATGTACACAGACATAACCACTGACACAGTGAACGCTCTATACACTGCTGCAAGTGCGCGCCTCTTGTTACCACCACCAGCCATGATCTATCCGCTGCTACATGACACGTGAAGTGCGACATCCCACGGCTGCTGTATTATAATTATCATTAAGCAGAAGCAGCAACAGAAGCAAAATGGCATCGTCATGGTTCTAAATGAAATTTTCTCTTGTCAGCATCAGCCTATCGACTGCTGTGTGAGGACTCTTTAATTCACAATTGGCAGTCATTGTCTATTCGCGAACGGCTCCCATTCCGTCACTCGGCAATCATCACGTCCAGAGCCATGATGCGTTTCAACGCAGGCCCAGATTGCAATGATACTGCACAAAGATCCCCCGTATAGCCTTAACAGACTTTTGGGGGCAAGAGCTGCCACCTAGTAGCACCTATGAAGGCCGGTGTACGGCACACGATGGGGTGGGTGGCCAGCACTGCGACCAGCCGTCTTTGTGTCCCCCAGTGGCGACGTTTGCACACCGCACCGGGGAATCATTTGAGGCCGAGTGGACCTTGGGGAGAACCAGGACCGGTTCAGTTTATCGTCACTGCGTACCATTACACATCCACTGGACCTGAGGGCAATAAAGTTGGCACCAATTTGTTGTCAGGAGTCTGGGTTGTGACACGATGTTCGCATAAATGCCATCACCCACGTTAACTGGGGGTGATAAAAACAGGTACCATGTCGCTGGAGGTTGCCATGGGGGCGAGATGTGAACTACCTCACGTGGTACACAGGAAAACGTGGGTTTCGATCCCCACCCTGATGCATGTATGTTTGGAGGTTGTGTCTGTCCCCGTGGTTGCGTGGGGTTCTCTTCGGGTGTCCCGGTTTTTCCCCTCCACATTTAGAAACTTGCGTTTAGACTATTTGGCTGAAATACATTTCCACGCGATAAGCCACTTAGTTGAGCTTTCATTTGTGGCCAGGTCACATCTGAAAAAGAGCTATATAGCTAAGTGGGCCTTACCTGGTAAAATAAAAAAAAATATTTAACATTATGAGACTTCCTTTGCCAGAAACAGTTATAGGAATAGGTTTTACCCTTTTAACTGGCACAAAAACTGACACCTTTATTCAAGGCATCATGTTTGCAATAACCACAACACAAGCAGTCAAAATGCAAAACCAACACCAATGGAGACTAGGCTCTAAGAAAAGCTGTCTCGGGTGTGGGCCAATCAAATTCAAGGACAGCGCATATTATTATCAGAGTTGTCTTTTTTGTTTGCATTTTGACTGCTTGTGTTGTGGTCATTGCAAACATGATGCCTTGAATAAAGGTGTCAGTTTTTGTGCCAGTTAAAAGGGTAAAACCTATTCCTATAAAAAAAATAGTTGATAGTTTTCAATGAAGAATTGTTATCACTGGGTCAAAGGTCAGAACCATATCACTCTGTTTATAATAAACTAGCCTTTTGCCCGTCCAAGGACGGGTGTATTTCAGGAAATCTGAAACTTGAAAGCGAAAAGCAGACCGCGACTGTGATATTCATTACATTAATGCGTGTGCGGTTTGTAAGGGCGCGGTGACACAGACTTATTTCATTTTAAGGTTATCATCCCTTGTTCATCATGACGTCCTTTTTACTTTGATGTCTCAATAGCGTCACGGAGATCACGTGACGTGAGGGTTCTGCCTTTGTAGTGAGGGTTGTGAGTTAACGCCGAGGAGGGGGGAGGAGGCACCTCGGGCCCCCCCCCCATGTGGAGTGACGTCAGCCGCTAATTATGAATGGGGGGCGGTGGCTATTTGGAGGACGTCACCTTATTATGATTATTTATTAGGGGGCTGGTCGACATGGAGTGACGTCACGCGCATTACACTGACATTCTTGGGTAAATATAGTAATAAATAATGGGGGGGGTGTCTATTTGGAGGGCGTCACCTGCTCATTAATTATTAATAAGGGGGGCTGTTCGATGTGGAGTGACGGCACAAGTGTTAAGGACAGACATTCCTGGGTGATTATAGTGGGTATACCATCATAATTTGACCTTTTTGAGTCGATAAAATAATTCCTGTACGGTTTTTGTTGGTTATAGATAATGAAGTCTGTCATACGAATGTGGAATTGCCACAACTGGGTCAGGGCACAGCCCTCTTCCCTCTCGGGATTGAATCAAGCCGTTTAATGACCTCTGTTGACTTCCCACAAATTGGTCCCTGATTTCGCACCCTTGATTAACAATTTTCAGAGTTGATTACAAACGTGCTTATATAACAGGTACAGAGACGTAATTTATAACACATACCATCCTGCACACTTTATTGGGTCGAGACATGGGGGTACCATCTTGTGCAAAAGAAGTAATGGTGGATAACTCTGTATTAACTACCCCCTTGATATTGCAGAATTTTCACCACTGGCTAAGGGCTCAACTTTTCATCACACTAGGGTCGCTAAAATAAGTATTGAATAGGAAGGAAGTGGCTGGGTGGCTCATCATACATTCATGCAGTCGTTTGTGTTTAGAGCTGTTTTTTTTAGTATAGTGGGTTGATGATCTTATTACAGCCACTAAAGTACAGCTCTGAAAAATTTAACAATACCGTCATGATTTCCAGATGATGAACATTACTCTTTGGCAAGGTAGGTGGGAAAGTGCTTCCCCCTACTGTGTGGGCCAGAGATCTCAGAGGTAGCTCTGTGATATCCGGTTCCGTAGACCCCGTCTCTAACACAAAGGGTTGCACTGGATTCTCTCCTTGTCTCATGCCACCGATGGAAAAATTGGGATGAAATTTGTAAAAAAAATACCCCACAAAGAATGAACATAAAATACATAGAATATGTTAGACATCCAGTAATTCTGCACCTCAATGTAACATCATCCTGCCTGTTTGGCTGTCATGGCATGTCCATGGGTACTGACCTCACTGGCTATTATCATTGTGCTTGGCACCCCAACAAAGTACTGTACTAGTGAATATTTTAAAAGCATCTTACATAATGAATACTACACATGCGCTATCGTCATTAATATTTGCATTGCATTATCGAAGCGAATTACCTGTTAAGTGCATCTTAAAATTAAATAAATGTGATGTGGTTGTTTTATTTATTCGAATAAACCTATTACCGGTATATTTGAGTGCATAAAGACTAGGTACTCATTCGGTAACAATTCAATGTTTCTAAAATATAAGCCAGTGTATCAAATCATTCCATAGTCCTTGCTATAAGGTGCATGAGAAGCATGGACACTGATGAAAGATAAACAATCAAAGGCACTAAAGTGTACATATAAGCTTGGAGGGGATGCATGCTTGGGATTAGACTGATAAAGAGAAACACGTGGACTGACGAACACGCACAGGTTAATGTGACATAATCTTCACTATTCTTAGCTCTTTCGGTAAAGTCACGTTGAAGGGAAACAATGAAATAATAAAATATATATAAAACAATAAAAATTCTCACGACGTTTCGACCATAACACAAACGGTCGTCATCAGGTGTGTCGGTTTGCCAAATCGCTGCGTGTGGCGCTGACGTTTTTTATAAATAAATACACCGTTTAAAAATAAATAAATTTATGCAAACCGACACACCTGTGTGTTATTGTTTCCCTTCAACGTGACTTTACCGAAAGAGCTAAGAATATGAATTACTGCAGTCACGAAAGCTTTAAATCAAAATTTAATTTTGACTGTGTACAAAAGTAGGTGGACATTGTCAGGACACGTTGCTCGATGGACTGATAGCTGGAGGGTTAAAATAACAGCGGAGTAGCAGCCAGAGGATAAAACACACCTTCTGCCACATCTGCCTCGGAGGTTAAATTATGAAAATAACTTGTTTCCAGGTGCTCGGTGGAGTATCACATCATAGGACCCTGAGCAAGAGGCTGACGATGACATTGTGTTTCAGAGTGTAATGGATAGTATGTATGTGGTTGATGGGAAAAAAAAAACATTCCTGAACCCAGTTTGCTTTGGTTCGATGGCCTCTGCCGTTTACGTAGTTTGTTTACATGATCTCCGTGAACAATTTATATACGTGAAATAAGAGTGGCTTGTAGAGGCCTTCAACCGGCAGTGGATTAATAATGGTTGATGATGAGTGCATTTCAGATTGGCACAACAGCAACATTAATGAAAATGATTGACACTCTTTTCTAACGGATAGCATGTATGTGATTTGTGTTATTTACTTCAATGATTATATTAGATGTGAACTTCCTACACGACTAATACAAAAAGCACCTTCATAACTCCTGTTACCATACTCATTTCTAACGAGAAAAAAACCTTTATCATGAGTAATTGTGTCTGTTGTGTTGAATCATTGCCTCCAGAGAAGAAGCTCAACATAAAATATAATCAACAAAGAGCACTTACGCTGCCAGCCTTCTCACTCGCACACAGATGAGATCGCATAACCCCAGTATTCCAGTTACTCAATTAAGTCCATCATCAATTTCAAGGTCGCCCTCACCATCTTCACGATTGTCCCATCGACTCTCCCCTGCCTACCTCTCGCCTTCCATCTCACTCAACTCCCCTCCGTATACTCTGCTACCCGTCATCTCTACTCCCCTCCATGCACTCTCCCACCACTCCCCGATCATCTCGCGCTACTTTCCTCCATGCATTCGCCGCTCCAGGAAACCAAGGCTTTCTGTCAAAGCCCCCTGACAACCTTTGGAAGGTAGGATGTCACTCATTCTCCTCCACCGTCTCCACAATGTGGAACTCCCTTCTCTCAGCCACCCGTGCTGTTGTCTCCCTACCCCTGGCCATGACTGGTTGCCTCTCATCTGAAATAAAATAATTTTCCCCCCGTTTCTGCGATTGCACTGAATCCACGTTGTATTGTACGATATAATTTAACACCTGTGATTTATTGTTTCCTAGTTCGTTGTTCATTGATGAAGATGGCGACTTGGCGAATGAATTCTATGAAGAAATAGTAATTTACATCAACGGCAGACAGACGGCTTCTTTACGAAGAATATTGGATAATTTGCGGCCCCAGGTATGGAAACTGTAAAACGCACCTCCGATTATCACGTTTGGCTACGCATGGTGCGAGAGAAGTTCAACGTACATACCAAACCAGATCAGATTCCCGTCATAGTTAATACACGCTGAGGTCCCTCCCATCCATTCCACACCACACAACCACAAGGTTCTAATGTTTGATAAACCAGCTTGTTCAAATTACAACTGTCGTTCACCACTAAGTGGCGGTGACATCACCATAGCGTTTGTGCCAAGCTAGTTGCACTTTGAGGCTCTCACGTGAGGTGTCGAAGGCTCGCTGGCAGGAGGTCAAGGGACCGCCCCAGGTGTCGTGGGTTAAATGACCCACACGCACAGACCCCTCTATCAGAGCTTCCCAAATCCTTGATCTGCCTTTGTGTGTTTAGCAGTCTTTTCCATTTAAGTTATTACACACTCGCTTGTATCTTGCCGTTGTTAACAAGGGGATGTGTACCTTTGTGGGGGGAAGAGACCTGGAGTTTGGGAAGCCCTGCCTCATTCACTCACTGCAGGGCTCGTTTTTAGTTTTATAAATGCTTTTTGGCCGGATGTAGTGGCGCATGCCTCTGAACCAGCAATTTAGAGGCAAGGGTTTGTCGATTATATTATTATTGAAACTCCAAAATGAACTGGACTATGAGGTGGCCAAAATGGAATTGCCTCATAGCTCAGAGGTCAGACCATTTAGGTTGCACTGCTGAGATCCTGGGTTTCGGCTGTGAATAAATCGGATTTTCAAGTGTAGTAAGTTGATGGTCTCGGCACTATTGGTACTGACTCGCATGGAGACCCATTGACTACAGAAACCCATAGGCTCACACAGACTGAGCTGATTAAATCGGGTTTTCAAGTGTTGATGGTCTCAGCACTGTCACCAATGACTTATACAGACACTCATAGATTCACATAAGAGACTCACAGGCTAACAATAATACACTTTCTCATAGAAACACATTCAGTGCTGCTGCATTAGCAATGGTGTACAAGCACATAACAACAACAAAACTCAACATTTTTGTCAATAGCCTGAAAAGGATAAATATGTGATCGGCAATATTTTGGGCAATGGTTCTTCTACAAATGTTCTTTTTTCATATAGGCTGCGTTGGGATTAAACCGGATTCATCACAAGCATTGTAAGCTCATGGTCTCAACTCGGCCATGAGCGGCCAGACAATAAAATGTTTTAAAGATTAAGTAAGAATTGGTTTTCCACTTACATTACGGTAAAAAAAGTACTTTTTATTTCATGGAATTGAACAAATGTCACATTGCAAGCTTCTCCTTCTCAGGGCCGCGTGAAGTTGAAATACCCCAGGATCCATGCGGATTTCCCGGTGGTTTTGTGCGAGGTGTGAGCCAAGCTTCGTTGCCGCGACACGGACTCTTGTACATGCGCTCTTCTGCGAACACCGAGCGGCCCCGGTGGGGGGTGGATGGAAGGGGTGGGGGGGGCAGGGGGACTGGGGGCGGGGGGGGGGTGATCATCTGACTCGTCGCTGCCGGCTGGGTGCCATCGTCAACACTACGCACCTCCCTTGTGCCACAGAGCCTCCAGCAAAACTGCTCGCCGTGGAATGCAAGTGACTGGTGGTGGTGGTGCTGTGTTGTCTTTGGTTGGAGATGTGTTCCGCGTAGGAAAACCCGACGTCATGTATAAACAACCAAAATCGTTTCGGTAGTCGTTGCGTGTAATGTTAATACATTAAAGAAAAACGATTCTAGTAATTAAGTTAATACCTGCAAGTATATGCTGGTGCTCAACTCTGCATCTCAGTAGATTTTTTTTAACCTACATGCACCTGTACAGCCCTTTGGTCAATCCACTGCTGAATGAGCACTAACGCCCCTCCACCCCTGCCTTGCAAATTTGGGGCGGGGTTGATTTGATCATAGCTCATGCTTATCAGCGTGAGTCGGTGAAGGCGGGAAGTACAGATATGGGAGCATTCACCGATGTTACTGTGTTTCATTCTTCCCACAACACAGCCACCGCAGCAGCCTATGATAACACCTTCTTTGCAATGCAGTCACCCATACGGGCACTTTCCAGGCTTGATTCGGTTTTCGCTTCCTACCAGATATGTCGCGATCGGGCGCATTGCGGGTGATTTGTTAATAGGCTTTTACCTACAACGATTTTACTTTTCCAGATGGGCAGCAATGTGTCCGTACGCCATCCTGTTGCACTGGGCTGCAGCGGAGATCACACTAGTTCATGTAACTGATCCGTTATTAACGTATAAAAATGCATAATTAATTTATAAGACTGTGAAGTTCGTCCGTTTTGTCATCGATCACCAAATTTTGGGATAGAACGGTGTGAAGAAGACCTGACCCCTTTTCGAAGGTGTGACCATATCAGAGGCCTATTGCTGACATCCACAGCGTTTCTCTGCATAAGAGACTCACCGACGTTGACTCTGTCCAGCAACATTGGAACGTTGAGACGAAGCAGAAATGGGTGTACTTTGCGTTTATAATGTCTCCTGTTCACTACCCTTCGAGCCACAATAAATGATCCTTTTTTTTTACAGCAGAGTTCTTCAACTATATTTCCCGGCGAGCCAGATGATAAAACGAGTGCTGGCAGGCCGTGTGATGGTGTCGTGTGCATCCATCTCTGAATTGTTGTTTTTAGTTTTTTTAGTTTGTTGTCCGTAACCCACACCCCCAGTTAACGCGGTTGGCTACATACAGTGCGAAAGAAGTTCAACATAGATTTCCCGCACCTCCGATTAGCATGGTTGTCTACGTACGGTGCGAAAGAAGTTCAACATACATCTTGTCATAACGACTGCACACGTGACCGCCAATCTGTTTCTCTTGTCTCCAGGCCCCGTCCTTCTCGCTCGTTTATCTCATCTCACTATCCTATCTCTTGTCTACGGGTCTCCCATGCCTTTATCTTGTTTACCTCTCATTTCTCTTTAGGTGTCATCTGTTGGCAGGCCCATAGCTAAGTGGGGCCACTTCAATTCTCTTTTCTTACTTTTGCTGCAACTGGAACATCCGAGCTTGGGAGCGATGTCGAACCCATCGAATATGTCATTATCCTGGCCCCCTTTCCCCCTCCCAATAATCCTTGCTTGGGTCCTGACCAAATTTCAGATGTCTGCTTATGAGGCCCAGCATATTTTGGTTTTGATTATGGCTCAGCTCGGCAAATAGCTGGTGGGAATCGACCCATATCTTGATTGCCCCGTGCTGACTCGGCTCGGATGTGCCGTTGGAAAAGGGGTATACAAAGAGCCCGCGTGTGCCACATGCGGGTCTGCATTCCGCCACTTTGAAGAACCCTGCTGTACTACGGCGCAATGTTTTTTTGCCATAATTGTTGCGCGTGGGTAAAATTTTTCCAATGCGTGCGGAATAAACGCGCCTTCAAATTGCCACAGCTGTGTTGTGTAGCACTTTGCAGATAGAATGAGATGATGAATTGTATATGGTGTTAGTGCGCGTGAAATTAGAAACATATCAGCGTTACTCCATAAATATGCGTTGCTTTAATCGGTCATTATAATCGTGTAAAGGCAATGCACGCGATGTATATTATTTGCTGCAGCTGCTACCTGGACGTTGTGCTGTATATACTATGAGATTTAAATAATCACACTCTTTAACTGAAGTTTTATTCGATTTAAGAATATGAACTGTTAACTGCATTTGCAAACGGGTTCAATAAAAGACGGAGAAAATGTGCGCTCATGCACTTGTCCAACTATGATCTCTCGTTACGGCGTCATTCTTCCACGGTGGAACATGCCGGCGTTAAAACCGTAACCAGGTTTCCCGTTTAGAATGAAGAAAAATAAAACCCCGTTTAGACGAACAGCCTGTGACCAAAATGCGCCCATCTCGCCAGATCACGTAAGCTCTGGTCATCCACGCAGCGACTTTTGGCTGGCCATCAAGCAAAGACGGTGACTGCATTGCGTGCTTTGATATGGGCGTCTGCGGCCATCTGGAATGCTCCTTCTTTGGTTCTTTCGGTAAAGTCACGTAGAATGAGAATAAAATAATAAATTGATAAAATAATATTCTCACGACGTTTCGGCCACAACACAAGCAGCCTTCATCAGGTGAAGGGACGAGACTGTTGTGGCCGAAACGTGAGAATATTGTGTTATTTTATTTTATCAATTTATTATTTTATTCTCATTCTACTTGACTTTACCGAAAGAACCAAAGAAGATGAATCCTTGCAGTCACGAAAGCTTTAAATCGAAAAATCTGGAATGCTCTTCTTATATGAGGAAACTGCTGGAGCTATGCACTTTGTCCTTCCCCCACATCTCCGATTAGCACGGTTGGCTATATACGGTGTGAAAGAAGTTCAACATACAGAAAGAACTCTAAAAGCTAAGCAGTTTTTAAGCCTGAATAGCACTTGAATGGGCGTCGGCCATGCATAAAGGTTGTTGGCAGCTGTGGGGCTACGTAGTGGGCAGCAGAGGGATGTGGAGCAAAATGTTACGTACTTATATGCTCCCATGTCTACGGTATCCCCTGCCAGCACTGACCAAACGGAATGAGGATGCCTTCACCCAACAATGTGACTGGCAAAAGGGGCTGTATATTATTACAAGTATGCCATGGTCTAAAGTGGAAGCTTTTTTTTTTCTCTTACTGTGACCACAAGAAATGCGTCCAAATCCCATCAGATCTCAAAAACTATGCGGGGGATGGAGCTTGGACATTGCTTGGATGGGCCACGACCATGAGTGAAGAGCCCGTGCAGCAAAATCCACTGCAATATTGTACTGTACTACGCTCTCAACGGCTGTGCTCCACAGCTTCTCCGAACCGCGCTAACCCGTGCGAAGTCGGTTTCTGATGGCGTTCGGGTAACTTCCACCGAACTTGGAACGGCAAGCAGGAGAGGCCCTCGTCCAGCAGTGGTCAGGAGAAGGGCCTGTGGCTCTTCGATTCATTTGTTTCGTACCATGTTGTATTTTCCAAAAACATAACATATGCTTGAACAGATGGCACTATATTGAACAAAGGCTTAGTGGGAACTAGAACTCAAACACGTGTCAATAACGCTGTGGCCGTGGCAGAAAAATATTCTAGTTGACATTTTGGCCAACGACCCTTCGCAGCACACAAATACAGAGGACGCCTCTACTTACGAACATTCGACTTACGAACTGTCAGAGATACGAACAAACCTGTCCACATTTCTTGTCGATGCCACATGAAGAACCAGTGGCATCTCCAACATGAAGAGCCAGTGGCATCGACATCTACAGGAGATTATACAACTTTTAAAGCCATCCTTTCTCCGTGTTTAGTGTACATGCCGTACAACACGTTTGGAATCAACGAGTAAAGTTATTCTTACGAACACGTCGACTTAAGAAGAGATCTGGAACCGAACTCGTTCGTAAGTAGAGGAGTCCATGTAGGCCATTAAGAAGGGCCATTGCCCAACACGTTGCCTATTCTCGACAACTTTTAAGGCCACGGCGTTATTGACAAACGTGTTGAGTGTTTTTTTATTTAGTTTATTTTACCTGTGCGCCGCTGCCAACGCAGCATCGGTAATCGCCAAAATGATTTGTTAAGCTGGAATCGACCGGTAGATTGTTCCACTCATCTGTTATAAATGTCATTTCTGTACGATTCCAATCATTTTACACGTTTTTATTTAACTCACTCTGTTGTATCCTCAAATCTTGTAACTCAATTTTAACCCACTTCCCAATGTCGTATCGACTGCAAACTTGGTATAATTATGTCATACTTATGACAATACTATATTCTATCATAAAAAAATAAAATATTTATTTTTAAGCACTCTCTTTTATATGTTATGTTCCGGCTTGGGTCTAATTGTCCACGCTCAACTAACGTTGGCTGTTAATCACCACGGTCCCCTTACGTCGTGGCAAGCTTCAGGGACACTTCCTGGGGTCGTGGTGGAGTTCTTCCATTACTCGTATGGTACATATCATTAAAGCGTGTTAAAAAAAGTATTTTTAAATATTATTTATAGTCAAAATCGTCAAATTTGCGGAGCTCAGCCTCCTCTCTGATTGCGCAACCCCTCAGTAACTGGATGGAGCGCGGGCAATAAGCGCGTGCCTGTTACTATCTCAGTATGTCACCAATGTAATGTTTGTAGACCCCTTCATTTCATGTCCCCGCCTTCCATACTCCAGGTAAATTATTTCACGTACTTGTATAAAGATATTGAGGCTCGCTGGTCTCGTCATGAAACTGCAATGAAAAAGTACCAGGGGAGGCAGCTATCACATCTGCCTCACTGAGGGGGATGCGTCTAACACGCCCCCCTCAGCGAGGCCACGCCCCCCTCAGCGAGGCCACGCCCCCCTCAGTGTGTGAATCTGGCTCTGACACTCGCCAGTGCCTCCCCAGCCATTGGCCTCACCGCACGTCACTGCAGCGTTCTGTGTTTTAAACACTGCACTCTTTCCCAGTGCAAGAAAACATAACAGGAGGAATTATAATCATATGGCCAGCCGCACTGTCAACTCTCTTGGGTTGGTGATCTAGACAAGGCTGAGAGCGCTACACGCACTATGGAGGTAACATGCTATGTACGCAATGCATGATAAGGAGTAGTGCCTTCGCGCGGTGAGAGGAGCACCTCTGCACGCTGTTAAATCTCTTGAGTTGGTGGTCGAGACAAGGCTGGGAATATTGTACATGTATAATGACAATGGAGCCTTGCCTGCGTTGTGAGGGGACTAGTGGCCACGGGAGGTAATAACAGGGAAGTCAGCCTCCAGTACGAATGCACTAGTGGCCACGGTAAGTAAGGGGTCGTCCATAAATGACGTCACGCGATTTTTGACCCCCCCCCCTCGTCACACGGCGGCACAAAAAGTCAGACCCCCCCCTCAAATATGACGTCACAAAGTTCTGCCCCCCTCCCCCCCAAAACCATATTTCCATTTTGAAAATGAAACATGCTTCAAATCGCTTTAAACTATTGTCATCGTAGTGCGTATTTAATGTGGCGCTGCACTCTGATGTTGTAGGAGAAAACATTTATTAAAAAGTCTATTTAATTAAGCAGAACGTGTTGTTTAAAGTTGCGCATTTTGATGTGACGTCACATTTCTCAACCCCCCCCCCCCTCATCACACATCGTCACAAATGTCTGACCCCCCCCCCCAGGTGAGTGACGTCATTTATGGACGGCCCCTAATGACAGTGGTATGAGTTGTGAGTGCTAAGGGACTGGTGGCTACGAGAATGATCGAGAAGGGAGCGTGATCAGGTGACGGAAGCGGACGGTGGAGTCTGCCTGTGGAGCGAGCATCCAGAGTCAGCGAGAATGATCGAGAAGGGGGGCGTGGCCTCAGTCGGTATATAAAAGGGAGATGCACGGGAGACTCGGGGCTGTTGCAGTGGGGGTCTCCGCCTGATGTCAAGTGAACGTGTCTTCAATGAAGTGCCATCTCAAGAGAAGTGTGTCCGAGTCGTCATTACACGTGTATGCGAGGCATATGGATGGAAGTCGTGCCTTCCTGCTGTTTGTGAGCAGCAGTGCACCTCTGCCATGTTTGCTATTTTATTATGAATATTTCTATTGTTGTTGACAAGTTACACACGTTCCCCTGCTGTGGTGATGACGGGCTCTCTCATCGTAGACGCACCGGCAATGGATTTGGAAACACGAAACGTCACTGAATTCTCAAGACATCGATTCAGTCACCATGCACTTTAATGTCTCCTTCCCCGATCGCTCTTTATATATTCTTAATGCATAAATACTGTAAACAGTCAAACACCCAAATTTACAAACCGCCTGTCCATTCGCAGCTCAGTGTACCGACGACGTAATAGCACTTTTGGCTTTTCATTACATTTCGCTGACGCGCGTACGTTCCGTACGAACAGCGTATGCACCAACGCAATAACACCGCATGACGCCCATCACAAAGGGTACCATAATAAAGGGTATTTTGGCAGAAGATGAGCATCAACATCCCACTTGCCCTATCTAGATCGGAGGGGGGGTGGGGGGGGAAGGTTCTTCAACTTGATTTTCACAGTGGGCCACGTAGGAATAAAAACACATCGAACGAAGATGGTCACCGCATCGCGCGCTTTCAGATTGGACTTCTGTGGCCGTCTGGAACGCTCTTCCTTCCAATACCAGGAAGCCACCGGAGCGATGCACTTTTAAATCGTCTAGATTGAAAACTCATTTCTTTAGAACTGCTTTTGTGTTTCGTTTGTTGTCCTTCCCCCGCAGCCTCCGATTTGCACGGTTGGCTACGTATACGTACGGTGCGAAAGAAGTTCAACATACGTACAACATAAAAACCTGCGCGTGCTGGCGGGCCACATGACGTCATGGTGTCGTGACGTCATAAGGGGCCGTCCATAAATAACGTCACGTGATTTTGGACGATTTTTGACACCCCCCCCCTTCGTCACACGGCGTCACAAAAATTCAGAACCCCCCTCTAATGACGTCACCAAGCTCTGCCTTCCCCTCCCCCCCAAAAAATTAAACATGCTTCAAATCGCTTTAAACTGTTGTCATTGTAGTGCGTATTTAATGTGGCGCTGCACTCTGATGTTGTAGGAGAAAACATTTATTAAAAAGTCTATTTAAGTAGAACGTGTTGTCTATATTTATTTAAAGTTGCGCATTTTGATGTGACGTCACATTTCTCAAACACCCCCCCCCCCCCCCATCGTCACAAATTTCTGACCCCCCCCCCCCAGGTGCGTGACGTCATTTATGGACGGCCCCTAAAGTCCGATCTGTGTCGGCGCGACGTGTCTCTGCACGTGCAATAGCTCGGCGGCCTTCATCTGTCCCGCAGGCCGGTAGCTGAACAACCCTCGTCAAACATGGCGGCATCAACGATGGAATTCACTCGATCCTTGCCTTGGCGACTGTAAACTCTGCGAATGTAACGATTCGTCACCCACCAGTGCAACACGGTGACATTTTGTCACGGTTTGGTTCAGGAATTGTTTTGGCTCTATCGCCTGCAGGTGTCCGATTTGTACTCTCGCTCGTCTCTTTGGTGTCGTCTGCTGCTGCCACATTCGTTCCGTTGGAAGAAGATTAGCACGGTTGGCTACGTACGTCGCGAAAAGAAGTTTAACATACATCGATGCAGGTCCCAGGTCACCCTGCATCCCTTAGTAAACTACAATTCTGACGGGTTGTAAAGTCGCAAATTATAGTCGTTCTGCAGACTCAAAACTAGTTGAGTGGCTCTTGCTGGCGTGGCTACTACCGCATACAACTGGCTCAATAAACTTCACCCCTGTCCAGTCTTCATGCAGAGCTCTCCGCTCCACTGACACAGGGTGCCACGGTGGCGAGATGTTAACTAGCTCTCTGAGTATACAGGAGGTCGTAGGTTCGATCCTGATACTTGACGCCTGTATATTTGGAGTTTGCATGTCTCTCTCTCCCCATAGAGATGTTTACTACCTCGCCGGGTAACAGGAGGCCGTAGGTTCGATCCCGACAACCGTCCCCTGTATTTTTGGAATTTGTATGTCTCTCTCCCCCCGTAGAGATGTTTACTACCTCGCCGAGTATACAGGAGGTCGTAGGTTTGATCCTGATCCTTGACGCCTGTATATTTGGAGTTTGCATGTATCTATCCCTCCCCATAGAGATGTTAACTACCTCGCCGAGTATACAGGAGGTCGTAGGTTCGATCTCGACCCCTGACGCCTGTATATTTGAAGTTTGTATGTCTTTCTCCCTGTAGTGGTCGCGTGGATTTCTCTCCAGGTCCTCCAGTTTTTTCCCTACACATTTAGAAGGAACAGTATTTGGCTGCTTTAAATTTCCACATGATAAGTCACTTCGTTGAGCTATCATTTGTGATAGCCAGGTCGCTTCTGAAAAAGAGCTGTATAGCTTCATGGCCCTTACCTGTGTTTTTATTGTATGTTGTTGTAACGTTCTTACCCGCCCCTTCTAAACGTCTGTGAAAAAGAGCTTTATAGCTCATCGGCTTTCTCAAGTATATATTTTAAAAATGTATATATACTTGAGAAAAAGTGAAGTTTTTAGAGACCGTGTCGTGACTTATCAAACGACCTCTTGGCAACTTTCGATTTTAGGTTTGGTGGTAGCACTGGTCGGACTGGGCATTTCGGGCGCTTTTGATATACCATCGAACCACCGAGTTGTCCTCCTGCACTGCCTGCAGAGACACTTCGGGAATCGCTGACGACGCCATCCGCTCGATGGAATCTCAACCTCGACCGGGCGATCCAGCTTCACCAAACGTGGCCACGACATGTCCACCATCGTCCCCCCGCCCCCTCTCCGGCGTCACACGGAGATCCGTTCTCGGCCCCGTTCTCTTTGCAACTCACGCGTCTCCAGGAGCCAGGCTTGTACAGAGTCTCGGTGTATCCGTACATCAATCTGCCGGTGACACACTGCTCTATATCCACTTTGAAAACGTCTGGCGCGGATACAAATAAACCTTCTCTCAACGTTAACCATCGCTACAACACGGGCTGATCTTCAACAAGCCACAAGTCGACCTCCTTAAAGTCCGAGCGACACGATCCTTGCAACTCATCACAAGTTACGACCTCTGAACGCGACAATTTCCATCATCGTGGCGGGCAGTTCCGTAAAAAACACATAGCAATCTCAAGTTGCTGGCTATTACACTGGACAAACACCTCGCCTTTGAACCATGCACCACGCATCGGCGAGAACAGATGATGTCGCAAATGCCATCGCACAAAGTTGAGTTGCCACACGAAACCATCGCCTTCGCGAACATCTCCAGCATCTGCCAAAAACACCCCCCTCCCCAGAAGTCGTATGTCTAGCCCTAACTCTCACCAGAGCTCCCGAAACCTTTTGGAGGAGCTGTGGGTTTCAAGGTCGCAGCGCTCGCTTTTATAGCAAAGACAGCTGATCAACCACGCTATCCGAGCGATGCCATCCGCCCATAGGTACGTGACGAAAGCCTATGCTCAACCTGGAAAGGACCTGCTGTGTGTGAGATCCACTTGGCTTTGGACAGCAGATCGGAGTTGTCCGTCTGCAGCTCTTTTGATCTGGAGCAGCCTCTGCCGACTGAAGTCTGCTCAGCTGTGACGGTCGGTGCTTTTAAGACCGGATTAAAAAAAAAACATTACTCTTTTCTTTGTTTAATTTTTCTCGATGCTATTCGCACTTGTCTCAGCTTTTTGATGAAAGTGACGGATTACAAATCTTGGGAATGATTAATTTAGTGATTGTTGCCTGCTTAGCATAATGCAAGGAGTCTGGTCCCGGTACCAACCAACGTGCCATGTGGCTGCTACTGGAGAGGAATAATCAGATGTGCCTACTCGAATACACGCAAGATGCAACCCAACAAAGCAGCTCGTATCTTGGCCAAGTAGTTTTTTTTTTTTCCGAGCAACGTCGTAAACAGAAGTGTCGGCCTCATACAATGCACATGGATAAACTATTTTAAAACCTAACTAATCACGGTCTGGCGGCCGGCAATAGCGTAGCGCGGTTGGCATGGGCCATGGTGTGAGGAATGAATTGGGCCTCCGTCCCCGCCAGGGCTCCTCCAGGCCATGCTGACCCCCCCCGCCCCCCCCCCCTACGATATATCCACTTCCGGGTGCCAATCTCTGACACGACGCTGCGAGACAAGATTCTTCGTCTCGCGTCGCATGAAGGAGAATGGACGCAAAAAAAAGTAACCCGACAACTCAAACAGTCCTTTGGGGTGGGCCACCTCCCTGTGAAAAAAAAAACTTCGTGAATCATCGCCAGCTGCACGGGTGGCGGGGGGGGGGGCGGCAGCTAGACGAACCGAGGCCGGCAGCTGGCGGCGACGGAGGAAGAGAGAGGTGGTGGCGGCGGTGGTGGTTGTGGGGTGGGGGGGTAGCTGAGAGAGGTGCGGGCCGCTTCACCCCGGCGAGCGTCCGCCCAGCATCTGCAGCAGCCGCTCGCGGTACGCCGTGTAGCGCCGCAGCACCAGCCGCACGTGCTCGTCCTCCTCCCGCGACAGGATGCGCAGGAAGTTGTTCAGCTCCGGCACGGAAAATGCCTCCCACTGCAAAAACAAAGATCTGATCACCCTCCCCGCCCCTACACCCACCACGTATTGCCTTAACGGGTTGTTGGGGCGAGTGCTGTTGGCGAGTAGAGCCTGAGGAGGCCGACGCGGGGCACGCGAGGAGGTGGGTGGCCAGAATCAGGCGCGCGTCCGCCTTTGTCTCCCCCCGGTGCTGGTGGTTAGAGTCGACCTGGGTGGAGGCCCAGGACGGCTTCGAATATTTGCCACTGTTATTGACCGAGCGGGAATTGAACTCGGGCCACCGGGTTCGTAGCGAAGTGCAGCGCGCTAACCACAAAGCCGCCACCTCTCTTCCCACTGTACACACACACAGGGTGGTCCAGCGGTCACAACTGTCAAATTTGTCCTCCCTCCTGGTCTGCATGGGTTTCCTTCAGGCTCTCCGGTTTCCTTCCGTAGCTAAAAAAACAATACAATGTAACTGGTATTGACCAAACATCGTCATGTCGTAAATGTACCCGCAAAGTACTCAATCGGAGTTATACAAAGCAGCAACAAGATTGCCCGCGACTGAGAAAGCTTGGAAGGACCTCCAGAAAACGGAGTCTTGAGACTCGGCAATGAGGCTAAACAAGTGTAACAATCGTAACGCGCACACGCAAAACACGAACGCGCACGCGCGCACACAAGCAGATGCAGAAGCAACCACTTTCAAGAGGATTTGAAGGACATAATTCAAACAAGATCATGTTACGGACAAGGAAGTCCTCTGTTTATGGTGGCGATGCGTCCGTGGAAAATTCGACGTCAGGTTAAACACTTTTACTTTTGTTATTTTACCAGGTAAGGCCCAGTGAGCTCTGCAGCTGTTTTTCAGAAGCGACCTGGCCACAAATGATAACTCAACGAAGTGGCTTATCAAGTGGAAATTTATAGCAGCCAAATACTCTATATGCATGTTGATTCTAAATGTCCAGGGAAAACCCGGAGAAAAATGTACGCGACCACGGGGAGAGAGACATGCAAACTCCAAATATACGGCAGGCATCAGGGTCAGGATCGAACCCACAACCTCCTGTATACCAGGTGAGGTAGTTAGCGTCCCACCACCACCGTGGCGATAACAACGTCAATAGAACACTTACTCTACAGTAAAACCTCTCCTAGCTGGACTCGGCTAAGCCAGAACTTTGGGTAAGCCTGCTAGAACACCCAAATCAAATATATATAAATAAGTCATGCTCATCATGCATTACTTCAATTGCTGAGAGATGCACTTGGCAGCTTAGGACAAATAAAAAATAAATCACCCACAAATGACCCAATCTGGAAGCGTTGCACGCCAACGCAAAATTTGGCAGGACCCAACATCTCGGTGCGTGGATTCCGGTCATCCTCGCAACAGTGGTGGCTTTTGGCTGGCCATTTAACTGAGACGGTAACCGCATCATCTCACGCTTTCAGATACGCTTTTGCGGCCGTCTGAAAGGCTCTTCCTTCCGATATTAGGAAACCACTGGAACTACGCACTTTTAAATCGACATTGAAAACTCATTTCTTTAGAACTGATTTTTGCTGGCTACGTACGGCGTGAAAGAAGTTCAACGTACACACATACAGATCTTGGGAAGCTAAGCAGCTTAAAGCCTGGATTGCACTGGGATGGGTGACTGCCGTGCATAAAAGTTCTTAGAAGCTGTGGGGCTACGGTTGGCTACGCAAGGTGCGAAAGAAGCTCAACGTACACACAGTACGTACAAAACGTTCACTGTCGCGAATGTAACTTGCGAGGACGCACGCACGCGCGTGGCGAGAGCGGTTTTTATCCGATATTCCGCACGCGACGCGCGCGACGCTCGACTTCCCCCCCGGGCAGCGTCAGCGTCAAACCGAGCCGATGGGCTTCGTGTACCAGGACGTCGCCGCTCTCGTTCTCCTTCAGCAGGAAGCTCAGGGTCGTGGAGTCGGGCCCCGCCAGGAGCTGCAGGTACAGAGGCTTCTCCCCGTCGGGCAGCTTCCTCAAGCGAACTGAAAAAGGCAAACAAAGAGCACGGCCGAGAGTGGACATGGCAAAGCCCTTGTTATTCGCGGGCGACATACGTTCCAGAACACCGCAAAGATCAAATCAGCGAACGTTAATAGTTAAGGAGGAGACTACGTTTGAAGGGGATGCATTTTGATTAGGGATGTCGTCCTTTAGGTTTGTCGCAATAAAAGTAGTCCCGGTACTTTTTGATCAACTGTCGTATATACAGTTTAGATGTCCACGTTTAAAACGAATACAGTAAAACCTTGGATTGCGAGCAATAATTCGTTCCGGAAACATGTTTGGAATCCAAAGCACTCGTATATCAAAGCACTCAGTTGTGATCACGTGACGCTCGGCAGACAAAGTGTATACGTACACTGCTTGCGTTGCAAGACCTCGCTCGTTTATCAAAGGTTTTACTGTATATTTTTTATGCTCCCTAAACCTATTTTCCTCATGAAATTTATTAGGAAGATAAACCTCATTGCGCGCTTTCAGGTGCGCTTCCGCGGCCGTCTGGAACGCTCTTCCTTCCGATCAGTGCGGTTTAGCTACGTATGTCGCGAAAGAAGTTCACCATACATGCCTCACTACAGTACGTACAGTACTTCAACATACATGCCTCACTACAGTACGTACAGTACTTCTTGTCGGGTAGTACAATACAATTTTAAACACAACCCCGTGAATTTGAAACCGTGCTACAATGTGTCGAGAATGCGCAAAGCCACGATTATAAAACCCGCAAGCATAGGTTTACTGATACGAGATATTCAATGCACATCCCTCACGTCTCAAGATGCTTTACAAATATTTCAGAAAGCTGCCTTCGGGCAGAAAGGGACGAGGTGACTGGGGTCGCCAGGTTCGTAGCGCAGTACTGCGCTAACCACTGCGCTCTCGCCGCTCCCTACGCGAGAAAGAATCCACGCACAGTCAGGCGGTACGGGTGCCTTTGCGGAAGCAGCGGCGCAGCAAGTAGGTCCCACCCCGAACGCTCCATGGGCCCGGCGCCGTCTCACCTTGCCCGCCGGCCTGGGTGCGAGCGAACAGCGCGAACTTCCGCGCGTCGTCCAGCACAGCGAAGCGGCGCAGCAGCGCCCGCACGACCTCGCGCGCCGTCGTCAGGCTGCCCACGTGCAGCTGCTTGCTGCTGCCCTTGGGCAGGTAGCAGCAGGGTGCCCAGCTCGTGGCCGTGGCGAAGACGTCGTCGTCGGCGGCGGCGTCGGCGTCGGCCGCGGCGGCCGCGGCGTCGCAACCCGGGGATGGCGGCAGTTGGGTCGGCGGAGGCGACGGGGTACGGGGCGACGAGGGATGGGCCGGGGGAGAGAAGTTGGAGGAGGGGGGCCCACCCCGGATGGACACCGGGCGGCACAGCTTGAGCTCGACGCGGATGAAGCCGGTGTAACGGCCGCTCGCATGCTGCACGCGACACCGACACGGTCACAGCGGCACACGGCTCTCAATCGACAGAATTTTGTGACGGGAAAAAAAATGACGGGCTTTACACCACCCTTGTTTTGGCAATAACGCAGGAGGTGTCAAGATGTTCTCACACCAAATAGACACACCTATTATGACAAGGCATCAAAGTCTGCATAAGTCGCACCGTACGTAGCCAACCACGCTAATCGGAGGTGCTGGTGGAGTACAAAAAACAACACGTGCACGCAAATATGCTTCTATAACGTATGCATTGTTCTTAGAACAGATTGGTCTACACCAGGGACAGCCTCCTGTGTGGCCTCGTCTTATTGTTGCTTGAGAGCAAATGTCACCAAAAGGCGAACAGTCCAAGGACGATGCAAACGCCAACGCCTTCAAAGCTCAGGTTAAGCAGTGAGTGCAAGTGTTAACACCTGTATTGTTTCATTACCATGATACTGGAAAAAGGGGGTCCCCCATAGATACTTTTTTTGATTGCCAACTAGCTTTACTACCCGGCTTCGTCCGAGACTTGGATTCTTGTCTTGGATTAATACACGGCCTACGCGGAGGGTGGGGGGAGGGATGCGTGACGTCAGCAGGCGTGACCCTGCCGCATGCGGGTGACATCACAGATGTGACGTCACCACTCACTTACCGTGCAAAATATATCCTTTACATGCGCCCCCCTCCAAAATACAAAAGTCTATTTTTTATTCTTTCTACATTGTGTAGAGTCTGGAAGCTACCCATATACCAAATGTCAAGTTTGTTGCATGTCGGGAAGTATGCTAAACATTTCGAACAGACACATTCACAAATTTCCCTTTTATATAGATCATAGTCGGGTCCCTTTCCTACCTCCCGAATATGGGAAACTTCCCCCCCCCCCCCCCACCCCCGACAAGCAACGTCCACCAGCGTGATGCGCCTGATCATGCCGATGGCATCGGCACGGCCCGCTCACCACCTCCCGTCCAGTGACACACCGTGGGAACAGAAGTGTGAGAGCTTTGTTTAACCGATAATCTGATGTTATATTTTAAAGAGCGACTTCACTCCAGGAGCTTAACACAGTTAAAACAACAATAAAATTATTTTGATGGCAGGGGCATGCACGGGTTGAGAACCGGCACCTCCGATTAGCACGGTTGGACACGTACGGTGCAAAAGAAGTCTAACGTACATATATAACATACAATGTGTGACAGCGATGGAGGGGTACTCGGGCGGTCCCGAAAGGGTGGGGGTGGGGGACGAGAAGGAGTGGAGGGGCGAAGGGAGGCAAGAGGAAGGGAACAGGCGACGGAGCAGAGGTGGTGAGGCTTCAAGAGAGTAATCTAGATTTGAAGTTTTTGTAACTGCAGGGATCCATACTCTTTGGTTCTTAAATTCAGTTCATTTTCTACCTACGTGACTTTACCGAAAGAATCAAAGAGTGCTTTAAGAGAGGTGGAGAGTTCTCCACTCGGTGGGGCGGTGAACCAATTCTCCTCCCCTCCTCGAAGTTCTGGAGCACAGTATGGGACTTGCGTCCACGGAGTTTCTGTACCCACGCCCCCACCTCCCCTACGTCGTGGTTCAAGCTCTGTATCGGGCTCATACTGAAATATAAACACAGATTACTTATTCTTTAATAAAATATATATATTATTATTTTATTGTTTCCCTTCAACGTGACTTTACCGAAAGAGCTAAGAATATGAATTACTGCAGTCACGAAAGCTTTAACTCACAGATTACTTATTCTTCTTCTTTTATATGGCATTTTTGGAGATTGCAACAGATTACAAATTAATGTCATGATTTGATATCCATTCGACTGCTTCAGGAGTAGCTGCGTGGATTAGTTTCGGACCGTCTGTGGATTTATCTGATTGGGCGGTTGTTCACGATATGTTGCACGGTCGACAGATTTACACAAGTAGCTCGACGGGCCGGCTTCTCATCTGAATGCCGACCGTGTGTTGTGTCTTCGAAGTAGGGCAGCAGAGGGCAGTGCAGCAAAGTCCACTGCTCTGCTGTGATTCGATGCTCCCAAATACGTACAGGGTGCTTCAAAAAATTGTTAACACTTACATGGGACTATCATTTTTAATGGAAAAAAGCATGGATAACAATGCACTGTAACATGATAACAAATGCATGTTAATAGCTTCAAAAACTCAAAGAATCTCCACTTATTCGCCATCATTGTAAACACATGCCTGGAAGCACCCTGTATATCCACACTCCCTACATTGACCAACCCACAACTGGTGCTAGGTGGGACCAGATTAACCCATAGGCTCAGAAGGCTTAGGCCCTCGTATTTTGTAAGCCTTCCGTTCTACATTGACGTAACAGCTGAGCGAGGGAAGCGTGGCCATTGTAATATTTTTTCGCCTTTGAATTAAGATGACAGCATTTATGACTTTGCCACAGCTAAAGGTAGAGGATTTTTTTTTTAGTGTAGCAAGTGATTGATATTTGATGAATTTACCTTGAGTCGAATACATTTGTATTTTTTTTACAGAGGTAATTGAATGCGTTTGATAACTTTATAATTGTTTTGCCAATATTAATACATACTTAGGCCCATCCGTCCTATTAGCCTTCGGGCCCTCATAGCCTATTACCGGTCCTGGTCCTAGGCCTCACCCCCTCTCCACCACCTAACACTGACCATACTCAAATAACCCGCGCAGTGTGGGGAGGCCCTCATCCAGCAGTGGATTGACAAAAGAGCCATGCAATATTGTTATCGGTGCCATATTAACCCTTTCCCATTCCGAGACGTCTACAAATTTCAGCAGAGTGGGGTGTCCCGTCCACCACTGAATCTCGGAATGCCCAAGCAGTTCGGCGGTAATTTTATTTAGAGAGGCGTAGCGCCGCTGTTTTTAAAGACACCACACTCACCGCAGAGAATTGTAGTGACCGCACTATGATAGCTGGTGTAAAACTGTGCCACACGCCCTCCCGCATGGCCTTGTGGGAGCCTTGGTACGTCTTCCGTTCCGATAAAGTACACGTACACCATTGGAATGGAATTGGAAGAAAAACTGATGACGTACATGCATGTCATTGGAATGGGATTAACTCCCAATGAGTCATATCTGGATTAAAATTAATCAAGTCGATTTGGCCTATTTGACGACGGTATTCAAGGTGACGTGAAAACTCGTTACAGATAAGCCACGGCGAGGAGGCTACCGTCCTCCATCCTCCACATCCTCATAAACGTCAAATTTTAAACAAGCCACAGCAGTGCGATTGTGGCCATGTAGCCCAAACTATGCACCGTATTGTAAACCCCCAGAGATATATAACGATACATACAAACACACAGAGATACATAAAGACACATAGAGATACATAGATACATTAAAGACAAGCCACAGCTGTGCGATTGTGGCCATGCATCCTTAAACTGTGGACCGTGTCATAAAACCACTGTAGTCTGCGCTCCTTCAGTAGAAGAGAAGGAACAGCAAAACGACACGAACTCTCTGTCTCCTGAAACCCTTTCATCGTGGCCAGCTGCAGACTTCGACGTTGCGATTCAGCTCTTGAACAGACTGCATTGCCATACGAAGAACGGAATGGACTTCTCTGCCAAGTACTTTCCATTCCCATGAATGGTCGGCAAACGAGGGTTCACTTACCGCGCACGAAGCGCTGCTAATCATCGCAATCTTTGCCAGATTTTGCTGCAGAACAAATCGCCATGATTACCGCGACACGTGGCAGCAATGAGCACGATCGTTCTGAATGGGGGGGGGGCAATAATGGATCATCTGCCCCCTCTCCCTGTCCTCGCCACCCCAGACACAATTCAGAAGCTGAGATTCGATGACTCCACGCCTCAATTTCATCATTTTAACCACCTACTTCGTATGCTATCTTGCTTTTCTTTCCTGTCTTGCATTTACAGATTCGATTTTTTTAAACGCTCTTTTCTTACAGGGTTACACGTTAGCATCGGACAGTGGTAGGCAACCTTTCGAACAAGAAGAGCCGTTATTCTTTGTCTGTCTTCGAGCAAAATATTTTGAGTCGCATCAACAACAACCGCCATTCGCCACTAAGTGGCGGTGACGTCACCACGACGCTTGTGCCAGATTCGCATCACACGCTTGTACACAAACATAGCAGCTGTACAGCAGATGACAAACACATTCTGATTTAAACAAATTAAGTGATTGAATAAACTTCATTATAGAGTGTAAAGAAGCAAATTAAGTTCATTCAGTGTTTAAAAAAAAATGGCTGCCCGCAAAGGGGCATCCAAAGAGTCGCGTCTGGCTCCAGAGCCATAAGGGGGCATCCAAAGAGTCGCGTCTGGCTCCAGAGCCACAAGGGGACAGCCAAAGATTCGCGGTGTCTGGCTCCAGAGCCACAAGGGGACAGCCAAAGAGTCACGTGTGGCTACAGAGCCACGAGGGGGCAGCCAAAGAGTCGCGGTGTCTGGCTACAGAGACACAAGGGGGCAGTCAAAGAGTCGCGTCTGGCTCCAGAGCCACAAGAGGGCATCCAAAGAGTGGCGTGTGGCTACAGAGCCACAAGAGGGCAGCCAAAGTGTCGCGTGTGGCTACAGAGACACAAGGGGGCAGCCAAAGTGTCGCGGTGTGTGGCTCCGGAGCCGCAGGTTGCCGACCCCTGGCATCGGGAGAGACTGTTCGTCGTGGCCTCATGCCTCCGCGTGTGCCGACGTCGCCCACCAGGGTGATGTTGAGGCCGTTGTCCACCTGCTCGTTGTACCACGCAATCCTCTGCCGCAGTTCCTCGGGGGTGAGAGGGCGCAGTGGGTCCTCTTCTGATGATGAACCCTGGACAAGCAAAACAAAAAAAGAAAGAGGTGGAGGATAAAAGAAAGAAATCAAACGAATTTTTTTTTTTTAACCAGGCAAGGCCCACTGAACTATTCGCTTCTTTTTTTTTAGAAGTTAGCTGCCCACAACTGATAGCTCAACAAAGTGGCTTATCACGTGGAAATTTATGGCAGCCAAATAATATAAACGCACGTTAATTCTAAATGTGGAGGGAAAACCCGGAGGACCCGGAGAAAAATCCACGTGACCACATAGAGAGAGAGAGAGAGACATGCAAACTCCAAATATAAAGGCGCCAGGGTCGGGAATCGAACCCAGGACCTCCTATATACTAGGTGAGGTAGTTAACATCTCGACACCGTGATGCCCGCAAGGAAGGCCTCATCACTGAGTCACAAAACCGCCCGGTCAACGACGACTGCACCAAAACAAACCCATCAGAGTCTATAAGATACGCGCGTCAAAAACACTGCGGCCCTAGCAAGGGAACAAAATGTGCAACGGGCAACGTTTCGGTCAGTGGCCCTTCTTCATTGTTAGGAGGAAGCATTGAAGGAAAGTCATTGGCCAAACACGGGGATCTGCTTAAACAGCGAGTAGCTTCCGCCGGCCTTCCCACCCTCGCGTTGTTACAGGAAATGTGAACGCAGAGTGAAGTGAAAGAAACCGACACTGTTTTTCACGGGGGCATCGTGCAGGCTCAAGCTATCCTTCCCTCTCAATCGCTCTCATTCTCTCTTACCTTTCTATCGAGAAGGACCATTGCCCGACACTGCTGAACTTCTTTCGCACTGTACATAGCAAACCATGCGAATCGGAGGTGCGGGGGAAGGACAACAAACTAAACACAAAAAGCAGTTAATAATAACTGAGTTTTCAGTTTAGATTAAAAAGTGCATAGCTCCAGTGGCTTTCTAATATCGTAAGGAAGAGCATTCCAGGAGCTTGCAGAAGCACATCTTAATGCGCGCGATGCGGTGATTCTCGTTGTTCGATGGCCAGCCAAAGGCCGCTGCTGCGAGGATGACCAAAGTTCAGCGTGATGGTTTATGCTACTTGACGAGATCAACAAGGTGTTGTGGTTCGCTTGTGGCAAGTGCTCAGTGTGTAATGAGCGCGAGCTCATCGTGCATTCGTTCGGCAACCAAAAAGCCAATGCAGCTCGGCGAACACTGGACGGACATCGTCGGATCTTGCCGTACACATCACGACACGTGCAGCAGGGTGACTGCAAGATCTAACCATTGGCCGTAATCAAGCATTACGCAGAGTCGGCAAAACGACCGTCGCGCCAGTCACGTGACCTCCTGCGGCAGCACATCAGTAGCGAATCTAGATTTAAAGCTTTCGTGACTGCAAGGATCCATACTCTTTGGTTCTATTGGGTAAAGTCACGTAGGTAAAAAATAAAATAACAAAAATCACGACGTTTCGGCCACAACAAAAGCGGCCTTCATCAGGTGAAGGGACGAGACTGTCTGGAGGACAGCGCTGGAGTGAAAAAAGCCACGCTCAGATCACGACATTTAAGCTGTGTGAGAAGAAACAAAGCGCCTTGACAAAGGAATTAGCATATAATAGCATTGAAATAGCTGTTTCTGTCTTCTTTGGTTCTTTCGGTAAAGTCACGTAGAATGATAATAAAATAATAAATTGATAAAAAAAAATAACACAATAATATTCTCACGACGTTTCAGCCACAACACAAGCGGCCTTCATCAGGTGAAGGGGGCGAGACTGTCTGGTAGGACAGCGCTGGAGTGAAAGAGCCACGTTCAGATACGGCCTTTAAGCCTCAAATTTCAGCCCCACGGATAGCTACGGGTCCCGTTCAGACGGACGAGTTCGTCCATGGTCGGAACAGAGGAGGGGGAGAGAGACAGCTGCGAGGCCCTAGTATGCTCCATATTGTAAAACTATACCATTAACCGTGGTGTGAGAGGTATTAAGAGGCAATGCTGGCGAAAGAGCTGCGGTCTGAAGGTCATCGTAAAAATACAATTAATTAAGAACAGAAATGATTTAAAACATCTTTCCAGTGGTTACTAAGCCTGAATCCATCTTCTCGGTTGAAATTGTCTCTGTGCTTGTATATGTGAATGGCCTCATGAACGAATCTCTCATGGTAGCCGGTTGGTTTGCAAAGAACCTCCGTCTTGGAGAAGTCAATGTCATGTGAGCCCACTGAATTATAACAGTGATCTGCCACGGCAGAGGAGTTCGTCCTACCGTGTTTCAAGTCTGCTTTGTGTTCGCGGATGCGGTCCGAGATATGTCTTTTGGTTTCTCCAATGTAGCTACTACCACAGAGGCACTTTAGTTTGTAAACGCCCGGGTACTGTATGTCTGGAACAGCATCTTTTACAGATGGAACTAAATCACGGATTTTATGTACTGTGTTGAATCGGACCTGGATCTTGTGTTTGTTCAGGATTTTGGAGATCTTTTTAGTGACCCCTGCAATGTAGGGTAAGGTGATGGTTTTGAGTGGCTCCACAAGAGGATCCTTCTTCATGACTGGAGTGATGGCTTTGCGGATTGTGTAGTCGGAGTAGCCATTAGCCCTGAGAGCCTGGTGTACGTGCTTGAGTTCACTGGTAATGTGTTCCTGGTCGGAAATGCATTGGGCTCTATGGTATAGAGTCTTGATGAGGGAGTTCTTCTGGGATGGATGGTGGTGGGAATCCGGTTTCAAGTAAGCATCTGTATGGGTAGCTTTCCTGTAGACAGAGTGGCTCATTGAACCATCATGTCTTCTTTTAATTAAGACATCCAAAAAGGGTAGTTTGCCATCTTTTTCGACCTCCATGGTAAATCTGATGGCTGGGTCTATGGAATTGATGTGGTCGCGGAATTGGTCTAGAGCAGGCTGGCCATGTGGCCAGATGACAAAGGTGTCATCAACGTACCTCTTCCATAAGGTCGGGCGTAGAGTGGCAGTCTGGATGGCGTCAGTTTCAAATTTTTCCATGAATACGTTGGCTACAACCGGAGATAGGGGGGAGCCCATTGGGGTGCCCTCAGTTTGTTTGTAGAAAGTTCCATTCCAGGTGAAGTAAGTGTTGGTTAAGCAATGTCTCACCAGGGGGGGTACATCAGTATGCAGTCCTTGATGAACCAGGTCTTCAATGATAGCGATGGTGTCAGGTACCGGGACTTTGGTGAACAAGGACACCACATCAAAACTGACAAGCAGGTCGTTTGGGGACAGGGAAATGCCTTTGATTGTCGATACCAGGTGAGTAGAATTTAGTACCGCAGAGGTGGTTTTTCCAGTGAAAGGTCGCAGTATATCAGCAAGAAAACGTGCCAGTTTGTAGGTGGGGGAGCTGATAGTAGAGACGATGGGACGAAGGGGTGTATCTTCTTTGTGTATCTTTGGAAGGCCATATAATCTTGGTGGTCTGGCAGCAGAGGGCTTCAACGAGAACTGTTTGATCTCATCAATTAATGCTGTTGAATCAGAGATTATTTTGTTCGTTTTGGTGACCAGGCTGTTGGTGGGATCTCTTTTTATTTTTGTGTAGCTGCCATCGTTGAGTAGTTCTTGAATTTTGTTGTTATATTCTGTTTTGTCCATGATGACAGTGGCATTGCCTTTGTCGGCTGAGAGGACGACAATATCATCCCTATTTTTTAATTGAGATAATTCAAAACGTTCGTCTTTGCTGATGTTGCTGGGTGGCAACTTAGCGTTTTTGAGGGTTGCAGCGATTTCAGATCTTGCTACGTCTGCAGAGATGTGACTCAAGCCCTTGAGTGCAACGTCGACATGGGCAATGATATCATTAACCGGTGTCTCGGTGTGACAGCAAAGTTTAGACCTTTAGCTAAAACGGATTTCAGACCATCAGAAATGGAACTGTTACTGCGATTAATTACGACTTTGTTGACGTCTATCTTTTCGGTGTGTGGATCCGATTTTTTGCTGGAGAGGTGATTGAATTTGGAAATCAAATTGTCCCTACATTTGTTCGACATAGTGGCAGCCGAAGAGGTAGTCATATTGTCTACATGTTCCCAAACCGATGTAGACATTGTTGCTGTCAATTTTAAGTGTGATTTGTAGAGTGTCTTGTCTAACTGATCGAGTTCGGTGCGTGTAAGTCTGATTTTTTCCGAGATAAGAGCGAAGCTAGTTCTAGCTAGAATTCGTTTTGCATTGAGAGAAGTTGCAACAGCAGAGGTTAGTGTAAATGCGGTTGGTATTACCTTAGAGTCGCGGCATCTCTTCAGAAAGGTGAGAGACTCGATTAGTTGAGCCTTGTTATCCCGAAGTCTGTTGAATGATCTTAAGGATGTGTGGAATCCCTCCCCGTAGAGGCGGTTAAATTTCGATTTAAAGCTTTCGTGACTGCAATGATTCATCTTCTTTGGTTCTTTCGGTAAAGTCACGTAGAATGATAATAAAATAATAAATTGATAAAATAAAATAACACAATAATATTCTCACGACGTTTCTGTGACCAGTCACAAGCTAATCACTCAGCTATTTCAATGCTAAATTCTATGCTAATTCCTTTGTCAAGGCGCTTTGTTTCATCTCACACAGCTTAAAGGTCGCGATCTGAGCGTGGCTTTTTCACTCCAGCGCTGTCCTCCAGACAGTCTCGTCCCTTCACCTGATGAAGGCCGCTTGTGTTGTGGCCGAAACGTCGTGATTTTTGTTATTTTATTTTTTACCTACGTGACTTTACCCAATAGAACCAAAGAGTATCAGTAGCGAAGGCTGCGCTCGCGCTGCCTTCGTCACCGATGTGCTGCCGCAGGAGGTCACGTGACTGCCGCGCCAGTCACGTGACCTCCTGCGGCAGCACATCGGTGACGAAGGCAGGTCACGTGACTGTCGCGCCAGTCACGTGACCTCCTGCGGCAGCACATCGGTGACGAAGGCAGGTCACGTGACTGTCGCGCCAGTCACGTGACCTCCTGCGACAGCACATCAAGTAGCGGAGGCTGCGCTCGCGCTGCCGATCTGGCGTCGTGGGTGATTTATC